GAGATTAAGCTTGGCCCTCCATCTAAATATGATATATAACTCATTCGAATTTTGAAGGCAGACCTAGAGTGATGAGAGCTAATTGGATGCTGTGATAAGAAAAACACTTAAGAACGTTCCTGTCATCTCAGTAATTCTAACTATAAAGCATCGTACATGATTTACAGGACAAACTAACAGCTCTGCTTGAAAATGATGTAGGTCGGGTCGTTCTGATAAGCTGATCTAATCGGCTCATTGCAAAGGACTCGAACGTGCTTCGTATCTGGCTCAAAAAAACTATACGGCGTAGAGCTCACCCATATCGCTTTCTGTACCAAAACCTAGGCAAAACTCACCGCTTATCTTTTCTTGCCGAGGCTCTGACTTCATGATAACCGATCTAAGCGTTTGACTTCATTGAGACAGTCGATGTTAAATGATGACACGGAATACGGTGTTACAGACTAAATCATGGATATGGAAAGTGCAGGTTTGAGCAGGTTGGCTATAGAGAGATAGCGCAGATCATACGATGCGCTTGAATGAAGAAAAGAATTAATCAACAAATATCTGCATTTTCTATATTTCTTGCATAATGCAACACCGAAGAACTGTGCCATCATCCATCGTCGATTGCGAACTCTTGCCTTATTGTGAAGCTATTGTGAACTCATGATGTGCGATGCCTTCCATAGATATGTCTAAAACATTTATAATATACTAATTTCTTCTAATTCTCATCACTTCTTACTGCTTCTGCTTGTAACGAAGGTGCGATCCTTATTGCTTGTAACTGGATGTATCGAATTGTAATTCTTTTTTTGATATGGACAGCGAGTTCGAGTGTTTATACATGCTTCTTAATTATCTTTTTTTATAAGCCACCGCTACATAGCACTAATCAAGTATGAGTTTTACGATCTATGCACGGGTGATTGATCAACATAGTGATATGAATGTATTTGTATCCATGATAAACAATTCTCTTCCCAACAAAACCAACAACAGAAGAAAGTTAGAGTAACAAAGTCATCACAGCTCATAAATATAAGATAGAAAGGAAAATAAAATAAAACACTGCTTCCACAAAACTACATCATTACAACCATGCACTATGAAAATAAAAGAAAAAAAAATCTTGTTCTACAGCCCTTTTAATTGATTCATTAGTGAGGCTAGGTCTTGCTTCGATGTATCTGATGGTGCTTCCGCTGCCTGAATTTCACAAAATTTACTATGAAAGATCGATTTAGAGGGAATTTTCTGTTCATCACCTCAATCTCAATCTCAGCTTCCTTTGGTAACTCGTAAGCATATTGAAGACCTTCTCCTACTGTCGTCTTCGACTCTTCAACTTTAGATTCGTCGACGAGCTCTGAAGAAATGAATGGCGAGTGACTAGCAAACATTTAACTCTGATTGATAGAAGCATAGAATTGAATCAAATCTGTACCAGCTGGATGCCGATTCAAAACTAATTCGATTGTAAAATAAAATACATGCAGGTGGTGTTCAATTCTTATGTGAAATAGTGATTGTTAAAAAACAAATAGGGG